TTTATATATTTTTGTATAATTATTAAAAAATAAGTGATTATTTGGAAGAAAATTATTTAAAATTTAGGTATAACTTGTTAAAATTTAGTTAAATTAAATTATTCAGGTCGAATCGATTTCAGATTGTTAACAAATTTGGATATGGAACTACAAAAATAAAAAACCATTGGATTATCGAATCGAACTTTCAAAGTCAAAGCCAAATTCAGATTCAAATAAATTAAAATTGATCCAAAACCGACTCATTGCCAGACCTAATCCTAATTATATTACATAGATGGTTGGTTACTGAATTGTGTGAAATTCACTTCTTGTGATTTTATTGTGTCGTGGCACCACGTAATAGTGAGAATATGGTATTACCATTACATTAAATTTTTTCTCATATTTGGTAATGTATCTGGAAAACATTTAATTAATAGAAGGTACATTTAAAAAAAAAATTATATTTCGTTAAGTACTCAAAAGTATATTATGGAAAGTATATGTTGATCATTAATATTATTGAGATATAATTTAAGAATATAATTTGGGGACTTAATATATTGTGACTATTGAATTATCCGTGGATTTCATTTAACACTCAAATTCATTGATAGCCCAATGATTATAATCATGATGTTCTTAAATTATATTTTAATAGTATTACTCTCTATAATCACAAACATAAATTGAATATATATTTGTGATAATGATAGTGATAACAGTAACAGGAGTGGTGGCATGAGTTTTGTGGTGGTGACCGGTGGCAGTAACGATGGAGAATGGTGATGGTGATGAAGGTGGGAGCGCCTGCGGTTTCTTACCATCTAAACCCCATCAATGGACTTCCCTTGTGAGTTCGGGCTGCCATGGTAACACCCAACTCCAATTGTCCCTCAAACCCTTCTACAAAATATATATATATATATATATATATATATATATATTCTTCATGGGCCATAAGAATCTTTCTGTTGCTAGCCGGTGACTCTTCTATGCTCATGTCAGTTTCTGTTAGAGTTGACATATTATGTTTGTCTGCCTAAGTTAGAGTCTTTAGACTACGCCTAAAGCATCAATCTCATACCACAGAACACACTCTCGTGAATCTTTTTCAGATCACCCATTTTAAAACCATTCAAAATTTTTATTTTTTATTTTTTTTCTCTACTAACAAAAAATCATCTCACCCACGTATTCGGAAATCATGCCTATAATTAAAACTTCAAATACACATAAACACATTCAAACACATGCACATCAATGCATTCCGAATTTTACAAACGAATAAAAAGCTAGACTATGGCTACAAGGGGAAATTAGAATCTTTACACACGGGCAAAAAATTCGAAGATGAACTTGAACCAAAATGAACCATATTGGGGTCGGGATTTAGCCGTACCACTTGCCTTAAAACACATAGTGTTTGATTATGGAGTTCAAATACATGATATGATTGAATCCTAATCATATACATCTACTAAGTAATAGAATATTACACAACCAACAAGTTGTCTATAGTGTAACTTTCAAAATGATGAATAATTGGTGCAAAATAATCATTCACAACCAACTAGCGGCTCTTGCACATGCAAATTAATCAATGAGCGTGATTATAAAACAACGAGATAAATAAATAAAAAAGGGGAGAGAAAAATGCGAGAGTGAGAAGAGACTTAAAGATAGATTATATAAATGGTTGAATGCAATTGACAAAAAATTACAAGTCAGTAGAAAAATTACGAGCAATTACGATGAAAAGAAAATCAGAATATTATAAGTATTTTAATAACTTCTTTTGTCAGGCATGTTGTGATTCGTAGGTCCATGTCTTTGCAGCACAAAATGTGATTCTTAGGTCCACAAATGTAAGCATAAAAGTATGACTAAATGAAAATGAAACATCAAGACATCTAGTTGTTTGAAGGGGTAGGTTGATGTAGGCATGTGGGCTACTGACTCACAAATCCAACATAAAAAGTATAGAGTAATGTTATTTTTATCAAATTTTCTTATAAAATCTTCATCTTAAATGATGTGACACAGTTTTTCACCATCAGATGAGTAGGTCCCATTAATGTTCAATAACGGGAGATTGTGTCACATCGTTTGATATGAAAAATTTGGTAAGCATAGTATTTTTCAAAAGCATGTGCACCACGCTGCTAACTATTTGTTAAATGCAAGTACTAGAAATAACTTTGTATATAAAGACACTCTATAATAATAAAAATCAAGCATTGGTGTATAACATTTCATTTCTTTAATTATATAATTTAAAATTAAACTAAATAGAGATAAAATTATAAAGAGTTGGGGAGGGAGGGGGGGAGAAGAGGTAAATATGTGGATTAGTAAAATTGTCTGGCATTTGAGAGTGTGTTGGTTGAATTAATATTTTTTAGCATGAAAAATAAAAATTGAGAATGAATTATGTATCATTTGATAAAAGTAAATAAAAATTAAATTAATATTGACCATTGTTGTACTTTTATAAATTGACTATTCAACTTTTTAATTGTAATATTAGATAAATTTAAAACAGTTTGTCCCTTGTAAATGTAAAACTTTATTTTATAACTTATTCCTAGAATTACCGTTTTTTCTAAGAGAATATGAATTATACTTTATATTTATGTTTGTCAACACGCTCTTAAAGTTTTATTGATGAAAGTATATCTTACAAATACCCTTTTACATCATGTTTAAGTAATTTGATAAATAAGTCTAAAATCACGATGGACAAGCAATAAAGTTAGGAAATGACGATAACATGGGAAAAAAAAAAACTCCACTTATTGGACACATACTGATAGCAACAGGTCTTTTGAGAGAATAAGATCTGAATGGAACTCAAATAAGAAGGAAATTACAATACAGAAAGAATCATTATAATCATCAAGAAACCCACTTACTCTTTAAAAAACAGTTGAAGATTGAAGACGGAAAAAAAATCAAATTTTGTAATAGATGAGGGAGATGGAGGAGAATGGGGAAAGAATAAAAGTCTCAATAAGTCAATAATAAAAGGATCCACAGGGAATACAAAAACCATAAAGCTAAGAGTCCAAATAAATAATCGAAATGATAAATAAGTCTTAATTCCTACTTCTACGCCAACTATAATGAAGGACAATCCGAGTCCCATTACTTCCTACCTTTCATATTGTTCGACCTTCCTACAAATATTTGGAAGCACAAAGCTCTTACAAAAAAGGCACCATCAGTGAGTAATGGAAAATATGAAACCTCCATGGAATCGAATAGGAATAAACTTCTGGCCAATTCCTGTATCCTGATGAGCATGAACCTAAGCAAATGGGCTGTGGAGGGTGATGCTAAGCATCGTACTCGCAGAGGTTCTCAAAACCCATGTATTCATGCTGTTCAATCTTCCCAATCATGTTTGATATACCAACCCCACCTGTCAAACCAAATAGTTTTATAAAAAAAAAACAATATTCCATGAAAGGCAATATGGCCAACTTTCTTAAAAAGAGAACAATAAACTTAATTAAAATTTTGTTGCAATAGAATTTTAGAGTTGTGAACGTATAGAAAACATTGATTCCAAAAGTCCAAGCAATGGTGAAAACCAATACTCACCTAGTGAGATTGCACTCACAAAGATTGTGAAGGCCAGAATGAAGATGATTAGGGATGCCCTTCCTAATAAATTTATCAGCTTTCTCACGACATGTTGCCCAATAAAAGCAGAAATAGTTGCCACAGCAATAAAGTAAAGAGCTGCTCAATAAGTGCAAGAACTATTAAGTTCAAATCAGGAAAAAAAATTGTAGCAGCAAAGTTCATGGTTTCTCAGATGACTTCCAAGAGAATAAAAATCAGTTGACAAAAAAAAAATGATTTTGGTTGAGATATGCACTTACCATAGGGAACTGGAAAACGTTTTAGAAGGTAGTATTCGATAACGGACATTGAAGAGGAGAACATCATTGCGAAGGTAGCTGTGGCACTTGAAACCTACACAAAAATTATAAAGATCTTTAAAGCCGGACTAATAGCACCTATTTCATGTGTGAGAAGAAAATGCAACAAACCATATGCAGTTACTTCATCTTCCTGTTTTCTTTTTTGCAAATTTTTTTCCTGTCTCAACATCTGTGCGTTGCATCCATGTTCGCAGATTAAAATCTTCAGAGGTTTCACTTTTCTTTCCTTGAGATCTTTGGAAGGTTTTTTTTTCCCTTGGGAAGGTTAAACCTAAGAATGTTCAGAATATGAATTATTTGAGACCTGCGCGTCTATCCAAGTGAAAAAATAGCAGCATTGTCTATTGATACAGGTGATGATTTCGAATCCCCTCCCCAGCTTTGAAATCTTAGTGTTGGAAAGTATACAATTCGTATCTTTCTACATTTCCAGTAATGCACATAATGTTTAACTTAACCCATTTGCTAGATTAGTCATTGATTTGCGGGTTGTTGGCAAAAATCTATATATAAAAAAAAGAGTATATAAAAATTTCTCATTTCTGTATGAGTCCCATAATGGCAATGTGCTTCTTCATCATAAAATGCAATGATCTTCCACCATTTGAATTCTTTGATATGTCCTAGCTCATTCATGTGTTGTTTCTGAATGATGAATGCCTGCCATAGCTCCCCTATAACAAATTGTCCTCAGTAATTGGTCTCAGCATTCTTCGACACATGTTCCAGATGTATTTTGATGGTAAACATAGTAAAGAGTCAAAAGCTCCATGAGTCCATGACATGGTTTTGAGGAACACAAGTGTCACTATCCTCAACATGAACAGATTGGCTGTATTCCATGCTTTTTGTTTTTGATACTTTTATTTGTGGTTGTTTGGGTTTATTTCCTCTTTTCTTTTTCTCTTTTTTTTTTTTTTTTGTGGGGGGGGGGGGGGGGGGGGGGGGGAGAGAGGAGGATTCCATGGTAGGCACAATCAAGAAGATAATGTTAATAGAGTCAAGTGATAAATGGCATATGGAAAGGAATTTCTCCCTATTTCTCTAACTTAATTTCTTAAATTTAACTGATTAAGCACATGAATAATGACACAAAGCTTATCACCTATTGTGTTTTTGTTCCACTTTTACTGTATCTTAGGAGAAGCACAAACTCACCTGAGGAGGGACTCCCAGCTCTAAAAACAGTGGACCCATGATGAATCCTCCTCCTAGACCAAGCAGCCCCCCAACCACACCAGCCAGTAAGCCAAAGGAGCAATAGACGATCAATTGGTGCACTTGCAAGTTGGTGCCTGCATCTCCCCGGGATTCAATTTTTCTCCATCCCTTGTACAGGCTCATTGCCTCGTACGAGGATACCCCAACGGAAACTGGGATCTGAGGAAATTGAAAGGATAAATTCACATGGATGAGCGAAATCCAATTTCAAGCCTAGCAAGCTTGAAGTCATTTCGACAGTGATAATATCAACGCTGCACTAAGAGAGTTTGTCCTAATATTTATAAGGCACACTCGCTTTACGCATCCACATAGCGAGAAAAATGTTACAAGTACACTTGAACAGAAGAGTAAAAATACCTGCAACAAGTTCACTACCCAATATGCAACAGAACATGTAGCAGTATAGTTCTGTTCCAACACATGAATGCAGTGAGTTCACCAATTCAATCGAGCTCATAATATTACAACATAAGCTCACTAAAAAAATCAGGAAGAAAAGACAAAGGGAAAAATGACAACCTTAGTTATTTGCAGTGCCAGAAATGCAACCCAAACAAAAACTAGAAGCCCAAATTCTGTCCAGCAAACATTCTCAAGAATAGTGACCTGAGATTATTACATCAATTAGATTTGATGACTTGGATGAATTAAAAAAGTCCAATTCTCACAGCACACTTACCTTTGGTTCTGCAGAGACATTGGCCTCCGTTTCGGAACTGTTGCTTGGGCCACCGGGAAGAAGCTTGTATTCTTCTTCTTCTGTGCCACTAACTGACAGAAAACAGCACGCATATTGGTTTTATTTCAAACAAAAAAAAAAACAATTATTAATAAGTTCTTTATTGCATTGTCAATGTAGAAGGAGTAGTGCATCAATCCACCATTTCCATCCAAGATCTTAGTTGCCTCCTGAAATTAGAAAAAAGCAATAGATAATCACAATGGAAGATATAAGACTGTTTCTGTAAACATACACACTCTGGTGGCAGTGCATGCCACATGGATAAAAGCATTCCATTTGTCGTCAAATAATTTGACGGAACCAAAATCCATCTTGTGACAGTTTGATTTAGTATAACCGAAGTTGACACAGATTGAAAAGTAGAAAATGAACTCAACATGAAAAAACTGGTAGTAAAAACCAAAATCCTTGGATGCAAAATATGTCAATCCATGATAACCTTTTTCATAATGGTTTCTTTCTTCCATGTTTCAACACCTTTGAAAAAGGTCTTGGTCGATGTGCCTGCAGACCAGCACATAAAATCAGCACTCTTCCTGGAGCAGAATGCATTTTTTGGCGAGGAAAATTGCAACAAAACAAAGCATGACCTATGAAGAGAATGATCAACAGAACTGTAACCATCCAGTCAGCAAAAACCACATTGAAAGCAACTCCAATGCTAATCCCCAGCATAAGCATTGGTTGGATAAGCACAGCCAAGTCATAGTCAATGATGGGCATATCAACTGTGGGATGCCGTAGCTTAAGATTATAATAGACGGTTGAGACTGCTGCACCCATGATCATACCTGACAAATGAACAAGATCTATCACTTCCTAACCATGCTAGAGAGGTTTATATAGCCAAAAAAATGTTCTAAAAAAATACAGTTTTTTCCCCTTCGGTGGCTATAATTTAAAGTAGAGAAAAGATGATCCATGCAAACTTCTAAATTTATAAAACTAGGCCAGGGTTCAAACTTAAATTCCTCAATTCCTCAATAATGCTGTGACAAAATTTAGCTCAACAAGGGTCAGGGAAGATCATGTTGAAGAGGGAAATAACTCAAAAACTTCAGGGTAAGAAATAATAATTAAACCTGGTTATGTTGCTCAAGTTTGTTAGGATCTACAGTTTTAGAAATTCACTCGTCTCTTACATTTTGAAATAGCAGTTGCTGATTTGGCATCGAACCCTATAATTAAGGCAAGCATGGGAACAAATATGCCACCACCGCCAACACCACCAACACTCCCCAAAGCTGCTCCCAAGAATCCAATTATGGTACCCAAAACAACTTTCCACCCAAATTTCAATTCCTGCATTCCACATTCCAAATTTGTGTACATTAAATGTTCCCAAACCAACACCCACAGTTATGAACATAATTTTAGAATCACACAAACTAGGTACACATGGATGTAAGTAGGTATTTTATGTTTATAATCTTCACTCAACAAATCCTTAACAACATGGAAAATTGGGTTAATCATTGAAGATATCTGGGCATGTGTTGGAGAATTGGCCGTACAGTTTAACCACACTACAAGAGTTTTAAACATGGCACCACATTGGATGGCAAAGGTTGCAATTTCTGGCCTGTTTTTGAGTGGCTAATTTCCTGGAAGAACTATTAAATATTTTGAAGGAAGATTGTAACCATGCTTTTTGTTAGCTCAGCAACCAAATGTCGCCAATAAAAAAATAATAAAAAATCCCTAACAAAGTTCTTTGTGTTAGTTCAAATGCATCCTTTCTTTTATATATTGTATGATGTATGATCTGAATACCTAGGAAGTGCGAATACTTCCCGGAGGGTGCCGTGGCAGTGTCAGAGTCTGACACGGACACGGCCGGACACAGCTAAAAGTATAGTGAATAGTGAACTCAGTCAAACACGACCAGAATACAATTAGGACATGACCAGTAATTTTTTTATAAAAAAAACCTACTTTATAAATATTAAAAGGGTTGTGATTTCTATTTTTTTAATATATTTTTTTTTTATGTAACTTATATATTACGAATGTTAATCAATATAATGATGTTTGATGAAAATGGTGGATATTTATTTTAATCTATTTCAATTTTAGTCAAAAAAATCAATATTTACTAGGTCTTATTATTGATATTGTTATAATATATGTTTTATTTTTAATATATTATTATCCAAAAAATATATTATATTATTTTAATAGATATCCGTATCTTATATTTTCAAACTTTGCCTTATCCCCGTATTGTATTTTATACATCACCCATGTTCGTATCCGTGTTCCTTAGCTTAATACACATAAAGACATTCATCCTTTCAACTTTTTCTACAACTCTTTTTTTGGGTATGTATTAAGTAACTTTTTCTACAACTTGCCAGCACAAAAAAGTACATAAATCCGTGCTTATAGTTATAAACTTGTAAGAAAGTTGATAAAATATAAAGAGCACCAAATCAAAGATACCACTAGAGCAATCAATGAGATACAGCTGGAGATAACCATCTAAGACAAGCTGTATGGCTGAGTAATTAACAAGAAGTACCAAGAAATGGCAGACGAAGAATTCAAAAAACAAAACACCAACCAATTCAAAAGGAATCAAAATGCAAATGTTAAGCTATAATTTGAGTATTTTAACTTACTGGCCAAACGTGTTGGTAACCCGATTGATTGGATTGCCATAAGAATTTCGTGAACTGCATAAAGTAGTTTGATTCAGATTCATCGGGAATAGTTGAAGTTTCATGTTTGAAGCTTCTTTCTGCTGAAACAAAGATTGAAGCTAACAGAAAGCTCCATGCTATCCTCGATATCGATACCATAATCCTCCTTTTCCCTCCTCCAATTCCCGCCATTCAAATTCAATTCCAAATATTAATCCCACAAAGAATTCCCCTTTTTTCCTTTCACAATTCTTTCCTTCCCTCTCTACTCCAAAAGAGAGACAGAGAGAGAGAATTACACAGTGATCTCACCAGCAATCAATTAGAATCAGCAAGAAAATTCAGGGGAGAAAATTTACTAATGAAATCACACGAGAAAGAACAAATTTCAAAATCAACACCAGGACTATGTTATTCCTGGGAATTGACGGAAGAAATGAATTGTTGGATGTTTGATTTCTGGGATATATAGAAACCCGAGAAAAGAGTAAGATAAAGCGACGAAGAAGGTAAGCAATAGAGAAGAAATGAAGGCATTCGAAACGAAGGCACCTATATGTATATAAGGAAGAAGGGACAAGCAATGAGGCAGGTAACTTTGCTTAGATCCCATGTCAGCCCTACTCCCTTTCTCTCTCTCTTAAATTAATGTCTGCTTGGAGGCATTCTCTCTGTTCCAGGAGTCCAGCCATAAGAATCCCATTCGTAATCACCGAGACAGCAACAGCGAAGAAAACAGAGAAGGACCACCGTCCTGGTAAGATAATGATCTGTAACTTAATGTTATCCTAGTAATAATTTTTTAGGAGTTTTATTTCCTCACCAAAAAAAAAATATATATATATTAGGGAAAATTACACACAAACCCTCTGACGTTTGTCACAATCACTTAGACCCCTTAATATTTAAAATATTACATACAGACCTCTTAAAGTTTGTACCCGCATAACATTTGACATTTGCCATCAATGTCGGTTAGAATATCCGTTAATAAATTACATTCAGACTCCTAAAGTTTATAAATGTTTAATATTTCCCCTCAAGTTTAAAACGTTATATTTAGACAAAAAATAATCTAATTAAAGATAGAACATCAAATATTTTAAATTTTATACCAAAATTCATATTCTATTATATCATTTATTGATATAAAATTAAAATTAAAAATTAATTTTTTTCTTTAACAAATCATAATTAGTATACAATTATACTATCTATTAAAATAAAACTAAAAAAACAATAAGAGGTTAAACTGTAATTGATACAATATATTCTATTTTTGATTGGAGAATTAATTCGTTTAATAGATAGTATAATTGTATATTAATTATGATTTTTTTAATAAAAAATTAACCATTCCTTTAGAGATTTTGGTGTATAAAAGTTTGGCCCCACAATTAAACTCAGGAATATTGATAAGGATATGAATGTAAGCACACGTGACAATAACTGAAGACAGAAACTTTAGAGCGTGTTCAACTTAGGACCATCCGGTCTGTGAGATTATGAACTTTAGAGCCTGGAGGATTATTTCAATATTTGATAAAAAAAAATAAAAAAATTGACATTTTATTCCTATAATATTAATTAAACATATTAGTCATGTTAATTTTGTATTATTCTTATTTGATAATAATTCGATCCATTTATTATTCATGTTTATAAATTTTATTATTTATGAGTTTATATTAAAAAATAATTAATTTTAATCCATCAATTTCGTATTCTATCAAAAATTTATACTTAGAAAAGTGTGTCTTTTTTAAACTACCACCAGTTTGACATTTGACGAAAAGCTCTCAAGGGTTGGCACGAAACCTACAACATTGACGCTATGCTTGTCGTCGATAAAAGGATAATATTTTTTAAACTTATGAGTAACCTCTTTAAAGAGTAGATAACCAAAAATATCATTAATAAAAAAAATATAAAATATTCATTAATGCAAGAAACGGTCTTCTCCTACATCTGACCTACTTGGTCTCATAAAATCATAGAATTCAGACATGCCATAACTCTTACGGAATTGTCTACTGTATGTATCAATTACTATCATATTTATAAGTATTTTTTATTATTATTATGATATTCAAAAAATAAAAAAATAATTATTACAACAGTAATCAAATATTTATAATTTTTTTATACCGAATAAAATTGATAAAAATAATTATTAGAATAATAATAAAAATCACTTATAAATGTGATAAATCACTTATAAAAGTGATAAATATTTTTTATAAAATAACCATAAAAATTATAAAAATACTTATTAAAATAATAAAATTTAGAGGTACAATACCCGTTTTTTTTTTTTGGATACCACAATCAAGTCCAACTGTTATGAGCTTAAAATTTTCTAACACAATTATATAAGTGACTCGGATTGATTTATCAATAAAAATGGTAATCAATAAATATATTTGTATTTATATATAAAATTAAATCACAAACATAGAGAAGAAATAAAAGAATTTAAGCATCGATTTGTAATGGTGGCGACGACGGCTATGGTGGGGGTGGCGGCGACAGCATTGGTGGTGGCGGCAGCAACAACGACGGTGATGGTGACGATAGTGAGAGTGATGTTGGTGGCAGTGGTGCTGGTGAGGCGGTGGTGGGGGTGGTGGTGACGAAGGCAGCGGTGGCGATAGTGGTGGCGGCCGCGACGAAAGTGGTAGTGGTAGAGATAGTGGTAGAGCGGTTTCAAACACTATTTTTTTAAAGTATTTAAGAAAAATAATTTTTAGAACTATTTTTAAAAAATTACTCAAAATACACTTTTAAGGACCTATTTTTCCTATTAAATTTAAGATGTTAATACTAATATTTAGATTAACTTTAAAATAATTTTAAAGCGATATCACTCGCGAATAATGAAAGTCATTTTTTTTATTTTTAAAATTTAAATTATAAGATATTTTATTATATAAATTGTTCAAATGATTGAATTTAAAGAATAAGTCGTCATAAAAAATTTAAAATTACTACTTATCAACACAACAGAGTACTTCTCGTGGTCTGACCAAAATGAAGGCAAGAACACAAAAAAAGGAAACGTGTCCCTTTATTAAAGCAATAGGTAAACCAGTACAACCATTTGGAAATAGACGAAAGTGAACAAGATCCTATGAATACTTTTCAAATAACTTACAAGAAGTCTAAACTACGATGCGACTTTGGAGGCAAAAATGCTAATATGATTTCATTGTTATATTCGGTATTTATTTATTAAATTTTATATTTTTTATTCTTGTGGATTATATTTGTACTGGAGTAACTTATATACTTTGAATATATGGTGTAATGTAAATTAATCGGTTAATTTAAAAAAATAAGGAATGAAGATCCTAGAGAGAGGAAGGTAAATTTTAATGGGAGGAGATAAAGGTAAAAATTAATGTGAAAAATTTTAAGAGAGATGTTGATGATTGTTGGATGATCTATTTAAAACCGTTGAATAGACTTATTGAGATTTGTTATATTTTATATTAAATATTAATGTTCTACTCAAGTAATCTTATGGCCCTAGTGTTTTTTTTTTTTTTGAGAAATAAAAGGGGTGGGAGAAAGGAAGAGTGTCCAGCGACCACCCCGTTAGACTCTCACCAGTAAAATCTTAAGACTTTTGATCGCGCCTGAAACGCCTCTTGGGACCAAACCTAGCTTAGCTAGCATAATGACTAACCACAAAACTCTAATGAAAACTTCAGGACTAGAACTCCTAACCTCTACGTGAGAAGTAAGTCTGGTACCACTAGGCCACCAAACCCTAATGGCCCTAGTGTTTTTGACTTATACTGTTGATCTCTGATTCGTTACATGTCACCATCTCCTATCTCCTGCTCATAATATTTAGTAAAAATTAGAAGTTAGTTTAATATGATAATTTGTTTTGTCAATAAGTACAGAGTTGAACTTATTAGTTATTAAGAACATTATATGTAATATTTGGTAACCATTTGGAAAATAGTTATTCTCTATTTCCTTACTTTTCTATACCTTTTTTCTCTCTCCTATCTCTTCTCGTCTATATTTTCTATATCTTATTTAAATTTTTGTCTCTATTACATATACACGATAAATCACGTATAAAGATAGAGATAATAACACAATGACAGTGACAGTAATTGTTATTGTCACACCGATATTCATTTTCACAATTATTGTCACAATAATATAGTGTTGTCACAGTGAAAATGGTAGTTACTTATATAGTAAACACCAAAACTAACTCAGATATTATTATTGTAAGGGTTGGTATAGTGAAACATTCAGAGTGACAACCACAGTGACAATGATGCACAGTGACACAATCATTGCATGCAACAATATTTTATTGCGATATAACCACCAATGTCTGTACATATATAAAAATAAACGTGTATATACACATATATATATATGCATTTATTGCCAAAAACTGAAGACATGAGTCAATTGCAAAAATTTTAGAAGCGTGTGGAACAAATTATTGAAGTTTTGAAACTAGAGGGAGTCGATTATAACAAGACCCAAATTTGATGGGGACAAATTGTAATTAACCCTTTAATAGGTTTAATATCCAACGAAACCTAAAAATCTGATCAAATTTGATATGATTTCATTGTAACCATTAGATTAACACGATGTTCTAATATTTGATGAGATCCATGATCACTCTAATGATTATAATAAATTAGATTAGCAAATTAGTTTCTAATAATATTGCTCATAAATTATAAAATGCATGTTAAGTGCTAACCTATTAAGCACGGATATTTTGTCAAGATTGAAATACCCATATCAGATATGACACTTTCGGATACTTCAAAATATGTTTCGGATATGCATCATACATATCTAATTATTAATAAAATATATGTATTCACATATACTTTTACACATGAAGCAAGATAAACAATTTTTAATTTTAATTTTTCAAGTTTACATACGATACAAAATATTAGTAAAATTCAATTCAACTTTGAAAACACGAGTATTTTAAAAATATTATATACTATAACATGTAAAAAAAAATATTAAAAAAATGAATTAATTATACTATAATCTTTGAAATAAATACTTGTAAGCAAAATCAACTAATTAAATATTGATTATAATTCTTTTAATTA